ATGTGCATCACCTAGTGTTGTGTAGAGGCATGGATCACATGGTAGGACCAAACCTGAAAATTTCTCCAGGGGTAGCTCCTCTTCGCAAGTTCATTGGAATTCGAAGACGGTTTGAAGAAGTGGTTGTAGAAACACGTGGGAACCCTGGGAGAATCTTCCGGCACGCAAGCTTCGGAGACCATGTGCTTCGTCAAGATGTGGCCTGACGGTATTTGCACGTCCGGAGTCATCGCCAGCCGAACTAGAGAATCAAAGCCTGAAAAGAAAAGATACGATCCTTGAGGAAGAACCTGTCAGAGAAAAGAAAAGCATTCGTATCCAAGGCTCTGAGTCTCATCCCATGTCGACCGAAGCCAAGAGGCCAGAGGAAGGCCCATCACTGCTCCCCTTGCCGAAGAGCCTCAGTCCAACCCACAATTGGACATGAGACATGCCATCGACCTAGTTGCTGACAAACATGGTCCCAAGATGCTAGCGTTAACACCCGAGGAACGAAGCTGGATCTTAAAAGTCCATAAACATCCTAATGCCTCAAAGCTCAAGCTATTTTGTCAGCAAATGGGCTGTCAACCACATATCATCGATGCACTTGAGGACATTCGCTGTTCAACATGTTTGGAAACAAAGAGTCCCGAAATTGCCAGGCCGAGTGCCATTCATAGTAGTCTGGACTTCGGGGATGTGGTAGGAATGGATGGAGTGAAGTGGCCCAACAAAGAAGGACGTCAATTTTTCTTCTACCATTTTGCAGATCAAGGGACAACCTTCCATGCAGCAACACTGGCCGCGAGTCACTCGACCCAGGACGCAATTCCAGCACTGACACAGGGGTGGAGAAGCTGGGCTGGACCCCCGGGAACCCTGGTCGTAGACGCCGGCGCGGAATTTGGGACCGAAGGATTCCATTCATTTTTACAAGAGCACGATGTGAAACTTCGCGTGATAGCGCCGGAAGCTCATTGGCAAAATGCACGTGTCGAACGACATGGAGGCATACTCCAAGCTATTTTGAGCAAGATGGACCAAGAGAAACCAATTCAAACCACGGAAGACATGGAAACTGCATTGTCGTTCGCAACCCAGACCAAGAACAAGTGGTCTCGACACAAAGGCTACCCTCCAGAACTGTTAGTGTTTGGAAAGTTGAACAAGGGCCCAGGTTCCATCACAAGTGACAGTTCAAATGCTTCCCTTGATTTGGCCCTACAAGAGTCTCCGGAAGGCATCCAATTTCGAGAAAAGCTAGCCATTCGGGAGAGGGCCAGGAAAGCATTCAGTGAAGTGGACAATTCACAGGCCTTGAGACGAGCTTTGCATCAACGCTCCAGACCTCAAAGGAGTGTCTTCCATCCTGGAGATTGGATCATGGCTTGGCGCAAGGACAGCCAGTGGTTTGGACCCCTCAAAGTGATTGTTCAGGAGGACAAGAATGTAATATGGGCTGTGCTTGGCAATAAGCTATTCCGGATAGCCCCGGAACATGTTCGACCGCTGTCCGCCGTTGAAGAGGTTCAACAGTCCAAAACTAGCGATTCCGTCGATGTCAAAACAATGCTCGAACAGCTCAGATCCGGAAACGCGAGATACATAGACCTGCCTTTCGAAACCGAAAGTCCAATGAACCGTCCAAATGAATCAGTCAACGAAGAATCAAGTAGTGAGCAACCAGATCTTGAACCCGAGATCATCGAGAAAGAAGATAAATCCTTTTCAAGCTCAGAAGCCGAATACACACCGTCAGTAGCTCCGGAAGCTCCAGTAGATCCCCAACCAAACACAGAAACGAATGCTCCCGAAGTACCTGAAAACATCCCAGTGCCTTCCGATGATGACGATGAACTCTTTGGAGAGGCGTTTGTGTTAGAAGAAGACCAAGGATGGAAGTTAGAGATTGACCTGAATCAAAACGACATCAATATGTTGAGACAAGATCCCAATCCATGCGAATGTGCTTTCCTTGTTTCTGCCGCCAAGAAACAGAAAACGGAAGTGAAGCTATCAACTCTAAGCCCCGTGGAAAGAAAACTGTTTGAAGATGCCAAGGAAAAGGAATTGCAAAGCTGGATGGACACCCAAACCATTTGTCGCATCCTTCGCCATCAGATCCCTGAGAAGAATGTTTTGAGATGCCGATGGATCCTCACTTGGAAGGACGCCGAGAACAATACCCATCTAAATGCTGATGGAAAACGTTCCGAAAACCGAAAGGCCAAGGCCCGGTTGGTCATCCTTGGTTACCAAGACCCAGAGTTAAGCAGCTTAGAAAGGGACAGTCCAACGTTGTCCAAATTGTCTCGAAATCTCCTGCTGCAGACGTGTGTGACCAACCGATGGGAAATCGGAAGTTTCGATATCAAAACAGCGTTTCTCAGAGGACGAGCTGATGCTAGACTGTTAGGCCTTGAGCCTCCACCGGAACTTCGTGCCAAGTTAGGACTCCGTCCTACTGAGATTTGTCGACTGCTCAAGGGTGCCTACGGCTTAGTCAATGCTCCCCTGCTTTGGTTTAAGGAGTTATCCAAAGCTTTGGAAAAACTCGGATTCGAAGCATTTGTGTTGTTTGATGACAATCACAAAGCTCGACGATTCATAGGTGTTCATGTGGATGATGGACTCTTTGCTGGGGACACAGTCTTCCATCAGAAGATCAACCAACTTGAACAGGTCTTCCCGTTTGGAAGCAGAAAAGCCAGAAACTTTGTGTTCACAGGTCTGCAAATCCACCAGTATGATGATTTTTCAATCACGGTAGACCAAACTCAGTATGTCAAAGACATCAATCCAATTAGTATTCACAAAGACCAACGCAAGCTCGTGGACGCCCCCATCAGTGAAGAAGAACGTCAAGCCCTTCGAGGACTCGTAGGAAGTTTGCAATACGCCTCGGTAAACGCCCGACCAGATTTAGGAAGTAGGCTCAGCTTTCTTCAAGGGAAAATCAACAATGGCCAGGCCGGAGATCTCATTGAAGGAAACAAACTCCTCCATGATGCCAAGGTAAATGCCGAGGTTAGATGCCGATATCAGTACATCCCAAGAGATGAAGTCCGATTCGTGGCTTTCTCAGATGCCTCATTCAATCGTCGCATCAAGGACTGATGATTATGACGGCGCATAGTGATATTGGCCAAAACCGGAAAAGCGTAGTGAACCCGATAGTATGGTCGTCAAAGAAGATTCAGCGAGTGGCTGTGAGCACCCTGTCAGCTGAAGCTATGGCTCTTGCAGGAGCCATGGATATTTTAGCTTGGTGTAGGACGTACTGGGGATGGCTCCTGGACAGGAGTTGTCAGTGGCGCTTAGGAGATGCCACATTGCGAAAACTGCCCCCAGCTTTTTCAGCCCTGAAAGATGATCCACAGCTTGAAGACCCGAATGCCGATCTTCACGAGAATTTGTTGAAATTACAGAAGATAGGACAACGAGATTCGTTAATAGCAACAGATTGTAAAAGTTTGTATGATTTAATCAGCTGCACTGCACCACCAGCATGTCAGGAGTTCAGAACGTTGCTTCAGGCTAGACTGATAAAGGAGCACCTTTGCACTGGTGTAGCTGTAAGATGGGTCCCATCAAATGCCCAGGTTGCCGATTGCCTAACCAAGATTATGGACGCAACCTCGCTCCGTGAAGTTCTGCGATGTGGACGATACTTGAGGAATGAGAGAAAAGCCAAGACGTCTCCATTTCTGCAAGAGAACATCGCCGACAGCCCTCCCACAAGGAAGTCCGAGATCGATCCATCTTTTTCTCAGTGAAGTCTGAGAGAAAGTCAAAGAAGACATAGTTTTGGCCTCTTGAAAGGATGGGAGTCAATGCCCTCAAGCATTGCTGACCTGAAAGAATAGGCCCAAAACTGGAATCTCGAACAAATTAAAAGGGGGAAATACTCATTTGAGTATTGGGGAAAAGCTTGTGCAATCACAAAGCCAGATGCATTGTTTTTGAGTTTCTCGGCCTTGCTCGAACATGTTGGACAAAAATTTAACTTTTGGGTATGTCAATGCAGCAGCATGTCACATGTTCGACCCTGCATCCTTCCTCTCGAGCTGGGAGGGCGGGTGGAAGTTGCTTGAGCCGGTTTCGCCATAGGAGGAAGGGATCCTCGATCGTGCGCAGGGCGCTTTTGGAAAAGGAGCGATTGGTAGTGCAGGGCACTTGGTTGGTGGGAGGAAACCATCACAATTCACCGAGGCGGTGTTACTTTTGCATTGTATTGTGTTAGCCCTATTCGGAGCATCCAATACCAGTGCCGGATCCATCTGGTTTCGACAATGTATGTATGTATGTATGTATGTATGTGTATACATATATATATGCATAGTTGTTACCTTGAGGCTTTGAAGAGCAAAAGCAGCTCTTGGAGAAAGCCCGCTTGCAGAGTGCTGTTGAGGGAGCCACAGAGGCCAGGAATGGCCAGGACAGAAGCCCCTAGTAGCGTCCTTGTTCCTAGTAGCGATGGCAGGAGCCCTTAGTAGCTTCTTGTTACTAGTAGTATGGCCAGGAGCCCCTAGTAGCGTCCTTGCTCCTAGTATAAGAACACATTGTTTATTTGGATCAAAGTTTTTCTGAAATGCCAACGGACCGTCGTTCTGCCTCTGACAAAGTCTATATAATTAATTGCAGCCTTGGCTTTGAAGGTGACTCTTTCCACATGCTTGTACCTACTTCGCTTCATCTCGGAGAAAGGCTTGCGCAGTGTCTTTGGCCGGGAAAGTGAGGCTACTTGGCAGGTGTTCTTGGCAGTGAGTCGCTCCAACCTAATAGCGATGGCCTCCGACCTAATCGTTTTCTTAGACAGGCTACTAGGAGCAAGAACGCTACTAGTAACAAAGGGCATTGGCATCGCTACTAGGAGCAAGGACGCTACTAGGGGCTCCTGGCCTTACTACTAGGAGCAAGAACGCTATCTCAGAGTCGCCTTCAGCCTCTTGAACTTGGATGCTCCGAGGCTTTTCACGCCGAGGGGTGCCACTTGGCGGGACATGGGAGACAGACCTATGTTGGCATTTTGCTTGACACGGCCGTGTGCTTGCAATTGAACCCAACCGTGCGTTCGATTCTACCTGCCCAGGTTCAGAGGCTGATGTTGCAGCTTATCGTCATTTGTTCCGGCAAATCAAGAATGGCGATCTGCAGCTTGGCATGAGGGAACGTTGTGGAGTAGTGGTCGAGGATGGAGCGCATGCGAGGTGCGAGATGCCAGATACTCCCAGCAGTGCTGCGCACAGACCTGTCATTTTTTGCCCACGGGTGTTGTCCACTTGTCTTTTGGTCTTTGAGCATTTTGGTGTCAGGTGGTCTTGTGAGAAGATCAGAATCCGGCTTGAAGGTGCCCTTGTTGTAGCAGACCCAGAAATGACGCGAAAGACCAAAGCACAGACTGAAGGATTGACCCAAACGCATCAATTTGAATCTCTAAAGCAAAAGGATGATCTACTTACAACAGTTGCTGTGGATGCCCTGCCCAGGCCGGGCACCAAATCGTCCATGCCTGGAAAGCACAAAAAGATAAAAAAGAGCAGCTTGAAGGATTTGGGATTGATGTACAGTAGTGGCAATGAATGTTTTCTTTGGCTGAAATAAAGGAACATTGAGCTCCTTTTGCCCAGGTATCAAAAGAGAGTACCCAGTGTTGCTGAAGAAGATCCAGTTGAGATCCCAGAAGATGCTCATGGTTCTCTTGGCCTTTCTTCATTAACACATCTCAAGGTCAGCCTTGGCTGTCCCAAGTTCAATCCAGCAAGCCCTTTGCTCAGACTTGCTGTTCTGTCTACAAGAAAATGAGGCGGCTATCCCAGCGATTCTTCAAGGAAACCACTCCATTCGAGAGTCAACACAAAAACAAAGAAGGGTGCCACTTTGCAAGGTTTCCTGTGCTGCGGCGGGGCTCTGAATTTATACTCTCAGACAGATGGGGCTGTTGGTTGTTGGTATGACGGCTCAGGTCATGAAATTCCTCAGGAAGTTAAGCCAACGCTGTGACGAACGGCTTACACCACTGCAACAGCCGACAACTTGGAGGGGTTTTCCAGGTGCGTGTGCAGTTTGGTTCCTAGACCATTGCTCGTTCAAAGCTGCACACCTTAGGGCAGATCTGTGGAAGACGATCGAGGATTTTAGCCTGCCCCTCAGGGCCATAGGCTAGCATCAGCATGAATTCGTGCGCGTAGTGTTATTAAGTTATTGGACCCCCTAGTCTAGTCGAGCGTAAAACAATGTAATGTAATGTATAAGCAAAAAAATAGTAGAAATGAGTAATCAGGGTGATTGGTGTACTGTCAGACTGTCAGACTGAATCCACATCAGCTTCAACCCAAGGCTTTTCAAGTCCGAGCCGAGACTTCATGGATTTTGCGTCATTTGTGCCTTAGCTGAGACGAGCATCGGATGTCAAGTTTGCAATATGTCACTGTGATTGGGAACCTAGTAAGTTCTTGGATTCTTCTGCCCATTCACCTTCTGCTTAACTCTCAAGATGCTGCAAGCGGTCAGGTCCGGGTCATCGGGTGGGTGCGCAGAACAGACTTTGCAAATATTCGCCAAGAATCTGACAAAGTCGGATCCTTTTGGGCATTAGCTGAGTCGACGTTGATACGCTGAGGGAAGAGTTGCATTAGTTAAGCACGGAAACGAAAGGTGGACTTGTGGAGAGTAGGTAACTCGCTCTCAGCTTCGAAGAAGCTCCTTAAAGAGGAGCATAATAGAACACGGAGACTCAAAAAGGAGTGCTGAAATGCCAGCTGTGTTTTGCCTCAGAGTATGTAAGTAGATATTTTTTCAACCGCCGCCAGTGTAGACGTTTGGTTTGTGTTGTGAACGCCAAGATTGCCGAAATTACACTTTAATGGTAGAGAGTTTTTGGGTGGATAACCGTTTTGGGTCAAGGGAACCAGGTGTTTCCCCCATGACATGGAGTAGTCTGCAGGACGTAGCGCTGTGGGGAGGACAGAACTAAATGGAATTCAGCGATTAGGGCTAGCGCAAGCAATGCAAAGTTTTGGAGCAAGGAGTTTTTTAGCAATCGGCGATGCTGCATGCACTACATTCAGCAAAGTCAGTGGCCAGCTTGCCCGCCACCGCTATCAGCAACAGGCCAGAACATCTGGATGAAGCCAGCGCTGTTTGCATCGTGTGGACCAGTTGCCACTGCTTGCAGCCTGGGTTCGCGCGATGAGCCCTTAGAGCAGTGGCATGAG